AAGACTACTTAACGGAAGCGACGAACACGAGAGTTTCATGTGATGGGTTTGAAATTATTCCATGCTCATATGAAGATTTAAAAGAAATTGAACGCTAAGTAGAAATTTCATGAAACAGCCAAATTCAATTACTGCATTGCTGATAACCGATACAAAATTCATATTTATGACGAATTCGGTACCACCCTAGAAAAGAAGTTTAAGCTCAATAACGATATTCTTCCCCACGACCAACTCAATTCCGCAACTTTGAACTCGCTCCTTTCCCGATAAGTCCCTTAAACAAATGAAATTTCATTACCAACTCCGCCCGACCTACGATCGAATTGCCCCATCGCTCATGTTGGGGTGCAAATGCAGCTGAAAACATACTAGGCTCATCCACAATATTGCAGCAACCACTCTACATCAGTCATTTCGCACGCAATAAACGATCTCCAGCTGGCGCGTTTATTTAAAGAGACAAACTCCTAGGTGCATTACTCATTACTCGCTATTGTAATGGAACTTTGGAATGTTGTTGGAATAAAAGGCGGCCTTCACAGAGGAACAAAACAGAAGCAGATGTAACATTAAGAAAGGGGAAAAACCTTCAGGAACACTTACCAACGCCATTCTTGTAGAATGTGACCTTCGGCACGGGTTTTCCGCTTGTTGTACAATCAAAAGTGACCGTCTCGCCTTCGCTCGTATTCGTATTTGGCGGCGGTCCATCCGGCCAATAAGGAGCGGCTAAAAGTAAAAGAATGATTGATTGAAAACAGCGACTTCGCAGTTAAATTATTCCTCAGAAAATGTTTACCACCAATTTGCACAAATGCAAGGATATATGATACGCATACATCTGTCAGACAGCTAACCGCAGGCTATAAATCGCAAGTAAATAAAAGGAGCAAAGCAACATACTCAGGTCAACTGAATGGTGTGTGTACAGTTTTAAGGCCTACAAACAGATGGCTTCTTGAAAAAATAGAATTTAAAAAAAAGCGTTCTCGGATTTGCCACTGGAAACC